GGCATCGAGAATAAGCAAATTCACAGAGATAGAAAGTGCTGGGGGAGGGGAAATGCTTAATGCTTAGAGTTTCTGTTTTGGGTGATGAAAAACTTTTGGAGATAGTGGTGATGGTGACACAAAACTGTGAATGTACTTAATACCTCTGAAGTGTACACTTAAAACGGTTAAAACAATAAACTTCATATTATGTATATTTTACCACAATTATTTTTAAAAAGGTTTAAAAAGTGAAGCTAGACCCCAAATTGCTTCTCTTGACAGAAATTGTCAAGAGAAGGCATGAGAAGTGTGGACTACTCTTCCATGACTTGAAAGCTCAACTGGTAAATATCGAGGGGAGGGAGAGGATTGTTTTTGATTTTTCTGAAGGCTGAGTCCATCTCAACATAGGCATATTTAGGTAAAAGGGAGGCGCTGAGTGGAGTTTAAAAAAAAAATCTAGCTTAAACCTGTGACTTGGGGGATGAAAATAGCACCACCATATTTTACTGGTGCATAGCCGTATGAGAAGCATTTTCAAAGTCGTAATTTCATGTTATATTTGGAAAACCAACCAACCAACCAACCGTTTTCCTAACAGAAAGTAAAAAGGAATGCTGGACCGAATCTTCGATGATGAAAATAAAGCTCTTCCCTCGTAAGCATATTAATATTCCTCAAAGAGTGAAGTCTACCAGCACTGGAGGGTGGGGGCTTGAAGTTTTTACTTTATCCAAAGGCAAGTATTCTAAGAGCCTGGGAAATTATACAGGACAAAGAACCCAATTTCTTCAACAAGTAAGTACACTGCAAAGAAAAAGAAAAAGGAAACCTAAGATGTTCATCAACCAAATGCCTTGAGAGGACCTGGTCAAATCCTGCGTGACAGAAATCAACCATTTTTTAAAACTGTGTTTTTCTTTTAAATTATTATTCTTTCAAACAAGTGTGAACACTGAATACTGTGGCCACTGAGGGGGGAGTACCAGGAGGTACATTATTCAATTCGCTCCACTGCGAGATGTTTCCAGGGC